GTCCATTTGAACACAGTTCTCTTCATTTGGGGTGTGGAGAACCTTACTCATTTGTCCTCCGAAAAGATCCTGGATAGATTTGTGACTTGTTGTGAGGTATTTCGTCAGATTGTTCTGGCTGTCAAAGAGAGCAAACGTTTGTGTACCATCAAGGTCATCACTTACAGAGCCACAGAAATGACAGTAGACCATGTTAGTCCTGGTTTTGTCCTCTCTGGTATGATGAGGTCCTGCTCAGCTGAGATTGCAGATATTCATTTCCAGCATATTGATCTGGCTTCAGGGACAGAGGAAGACATCCAAACCCTGGTTCATGTAATTAAAGCTAACCATCAACACGAAATAAGGATCAGCAAAGGGCAGGCATCAACAACGAGAATAGTTCAAACTCCTGTTAAAGACTGTGACTTATGTGTAGAGCCAATAAAAGCCAGCCAGCTTAGAGACTTTGTCCTACAGACTACTGATCCATATCGAACAACCAATTTGTATCCAATATCTACCATTAACACTGATAGAAATCCTGTCCCGGAAAGTTCAGTAAAAATTCAAGTAACGAATGTCTGTGTGCACACCTCAGACTACTTTCCAGTCAGTACTTCCCATTTCAAATTTGGCAGAACATTCTACTGGAACAAATATGTGGCACAGAATCATGACCTCCTGGCTTTAGATTTTAGTGGTATTGTCTCAACCGTTGGTAGAGACGTAAAAACACTAAGTGTGGGAGACCTTATTGCTTCATGTTATCCAGTTGCTGCAGCATCAGAGATCTTGATTCCCGAAGCAGTGTGCTACAGTACAAAAGCTCTGCCCTTCTTCCGAGAAACACCATGCGTGTCCTATTTCATCCTGGCATGGGAAATCCTGCAGAGGCTGCTGTGTGAAGTTAGGAGAAGGCAGAAAAAGTTGGCAATAATCTCCTCTGATTCAGCCGCTGTTCTAATACAAGTTCTTGCCGTTACAGCAAACAGGTCAGGCTGGGCCGTTTCCTGTCAAGCTAATATCTCTAAGGAATTGATTCATTTTGATGCTTTGCTTTTTCTTCCTCCATTTGATCAATCAATTGAAAGAATATTCGACATTGGTGACCCTGTAAAGCATGTAATTTTTGTCTTTAGCAGTCACATGTCACCCTCCACAAACAATGTTACATTTAAGGATAAAAACATTCATGTGCACCATCTTGATGTGGCTTATGTTCTCCAGAAAGCTAATCTACAAGCACAAACCAGAAATGTCTCCAAGTGGCTTCAGTCGCTAGGCCTTGATGCAGATTGTCTTCGTTATAGAAAGGAGCTATTTCATGAAAAAGAGGCTAAAACTGAGTCCTCTTTCACAACAGCAGCAGTACAGAATATCATTATCAACAAAGAACGATTCAAGGGGCTGATATGTAGTCAAAGCTCTTTGCCTATAAAACCTGCACTTTTTAAAAAGGGATGTGTTTACATTGTAACTGGAGGTTTGTCTGGTTTGGGCTTTGAGACGGTTAAGTTCATCGCACAAAATGGTGGAGGCTGCATTGCAATACTGTCAAGAGGTGTTCCGTCAGATGAAATTCGCTTTCAGTTAGATCTTCTCCAGAAAATAAACGGGGTCACTGTCCTTAACATCCAGTGTGATGTCTCTGTGTCAATGCAGGTGGTGGATGCCATCAGCAAAATTGGAAAAAGATTTCCATCTAATCCAATTAAAGGAGTGTTTCATAGTGCTGCAGTCCTGCATGATGCACTCATTGAATCTCTTGATGAGTCTCTTTTCAGAAAAGTGCTAAAACCCAAAGTTTGTGGTGCTCTGAATCTCCACTTTGCAACATTCCACAACAAGTTAGACTTCTTTGTTTGCTACTCCTCCATCTCATCCTTCATAGGAAATGCCTCACAGTGTAACTATGCAGCAGCCAATTCCTTTCTTGATACATTCTGTCATTACCGGAGAAACCTTGGGCTCGCTGGACAGTCCATCAACTGGGGTCCTTTAAACCTTGGTCTGCTACTTCACAAAGACCACTTTCAGAAGTTCTTGGAGGCCAAGGGGATGATGACGATGGCTGTGCATGAAGTTCACGAGACACTTAAAAAGTGTCTGTTAATTAACAGGCCACAGCAAGTAATTTGCAAATTCAACTTCAAGAACCTCAGCTCACATGTCCTTTCACAAAATCCGTCTTTCAGGGAGCGAATGGCAGCTTTAGTGGAAAAAACACTGACAGATGAAATCCTTGAAAGACCTAATAAAGTTCAGCGATCATTTACAACTTATGACACAGTAAGGATAATAGTCAGTGAAATGCTGAATTTAAATGTTGGCATAGTGGAAGATGACTCCTCTCTTTCAGCACTGGGCATTGATTCAATGTTAGCAATGACTTTGCAGAATAAAATCTACCAGGAGACAGAAATAAATGTACCTTTGGTTACAATCCTAGACCCCAACACCACACTTGACACATTAGTCAGTTTTGTACAAAACTACATTTAATTTATTACCTGTGCCTTCTTGTCATCTGTGAAAAGATGAAAACAACTGAAATGCTGTTCAAGTTTCACTGCAGAGCCTTTCTAAAACAATTACAGTGTTTCACCATAATCCCTGTTTCAGCGGTCAGGATTGGTAAAAATGACCTCTGTTGATTGTGGAATTCCTGACTTTCAGTGAAAATAGTTAGAGTCTTCTTTAGCTTTTTCAACAGCTCAAATGCTAGCTCATGAACAAAAAGGGATCAAGCAGATCTGCATTACAAATTTCATTATTTGCTGTCCTATATTCTGGGACTTATTTGATTTTTACAGACTTTGAAGTTTTTCTATAAAACATATTGAAATAAAGTGTGACATTTCGTTGAATCTACAAGTATGTTGTTTTTTTTAAATTGATTTTGCTAGATGAGTTGAGGAATGTACAAATAAGACTGCAATCGAGCAAACCAAAAGCACTTCTTTCCTCTAGTGAGATTTAAAATATAAATATTCCAGCTGTAGAAAATAGTGAAAAGCATATGACAGTCAGATCATGTTTGTTAATAAAGCTAGCTACTGTGCCAATGGTAGCTCTTGCATAAAGTTTTACTTAAATCTTTTTTTCTTTCTCGCCATATTTATTTGTATTTATTTCAAGTGAGAAGGTTTTCCATATCACATTTCTAGGTGATTCAAGATTTTGGTGGTAAGGTAAACATTATGGACATATATTTCAGGTTGATTTGAATAATCTTACTACGTTTGTTACACTGATATTGCTCTTGTTTAGTTAACTAGATGTGTTGCTTATTTCTGTCTTAAACAAGGACTTTGCTCAACAGTAGCAGACCACCTGTTATTGTCATTATGTAGTAATACCATGTTGTGGGGTTTGGGATGATTTATTATTTTCTTTCTCATTTTTTTTTTCTTTTTTATACAAGAATCACCCAAGAGAAATAACCCAATTATTGAACTATGTCTACTTTCTTTTTGTTTCCTGTTTATTTTGTAATGTAAAATGTAAATAAAATCATTGTAAAATTCAGTTGTTGTGATAAAAAATTTGCATTTCTTTTCACGTGTTTCTTTAATATTTGAGACTAAAGCAGACACGACAGTAGTGGAAACGGCAAATGATGAATGAAACTTTCTTAATTCCCTTAAAAAAATATGCACCTTGGCTTGATGTACAAAAATTCTGTATTGGTTTCTTGTGAAAAAAAAAATCCCTTTTTGCAATCGCTGTGAAATTGTTTAGTTTGTAAAAATTCCCCCAAAACGACCTTCCTTGATGAATACAAAATTTTTACAAAAATTTTTTTTTTATTTATACAAATTTTTCATATCATTTATCTTTTGTTAATATTTGCTTATAATTTTTTGCTTGCATGCAACATGATGTTAACCTTTACATGATTTTTTTTTTTTTAGATATGTAGAGGTACAAAAAGCGTGATTTTCTCCAATCTAATAAATCAATGACTTAAATAGCAAAAAGACTAAAGACGCCTTCTTGCTGCTAACAGATGATTTATGGAGCATACTAGATCACAATATCATATTTTTTCCAGTAATCCAGTAATCAGAATAAATTATTAATTGATCAGTGATAAGAAATGATCATGACCTGTGGAGGAGGCTTCATGTAAGACAGACAGGTACATAAAAGGCTATCTATGGAGACTTTTAGCTTTACAATATATCATTTGCTGAAATGCAATAAAATAGTACTGAAAGGCACACATATACAGCAAATGTGTAAAATTTCAAAATATTTCTATTTACAAATTTTTTTGTTTTCATATTTTACTTTAAAATGTGTTAAATTGCTAAGTCAGTAGTGTTTTGCTGCACAAATTATCTTCAAATAGTTTGACAAGGTATAAAATAACATTTTACTTCTTTTTTCCTTTTTGGTCATTCTTAAATGATTAAGAGGAGAAATACTTTTTTTTAATTAGACATATATCACCTGTGTAAGTGTGAATAAAGTGCAGGTTTCAAACACAAATTCAAAATATTCACAAAGAAAATTGAAATAAATACAAGCAGATAATCAAAATAATTAATCACTTTAAAACACCTGCTAAAGAATCAACAAAATATCTAAAAAGGGACAGCACACATCATACCTCAATTTAGGGAAATTCAACAACAGATAAAAAACAAAATCATTAATTTAGAGAGCCTTGCCTTTCATTCTAGTGAAACACGACAAAATAATGAATAATAACATTTGAGAAAACAAGGAAAAGTGGTAAAAAAAAATATCCTTGAAGTTGATGGCCTACCAAGGGTACTCCAACAGGGAATTGATGATTCACTTTATATCTGATACTGATATTTGTGTGACAATCTGAAGTTTTTCACACAAAAAAAAAACACAGAGAGGAAATCTTTTAAACAGCACTGTAACTACCACTATTAATACATGGATTTTCCATAGGAAATGGTTCAAAAAGCAAATAATGCAGCATAATCATTGGACATAAACACAATCCTTTATTGTTAATATTAACCTTTAAATTATTTTTTTTATAATCTTGTTAAAACATCAGAGTCACTCAGGTTTTCATTCATAAGAGAGTTTTCAAGGTCATTTTTACCCAAGGGTTCCTCACTCAGTATGGTTATAACTGATGATAATGTGGCATTGGGGTCCAACAACTTCACCAGAGGCACATTCACCCCTCTCTCCTGAAACAGCATGTTCTGCAGGGTCATTGCCTGCATGGAGTCCATGCCTAAAGATGAAAGAAGGGAGTCTTCACTCAGCTCACTTTCATCAATGCCAATAGTCTCGCTGAGCAGCGAAAAGACATATTCTTTTGGTGACACTGACTCAGTTTGTCTACTTGTTGCCTCTTCCTCTTTGGATTTTTGGAACGCCTCATTGACTAATGCAGAAAGACGTAAGGTCAAGGCTTTATTTTGAGAAAGTATATTATATCTGATGTTCCTGAAGTGAAACTTGCAAACAGCTTGTTGGGGACGGTTCAAGACCAGGCACTGCTCCAGGCTTTTATGAATTTCTGCAACATCTAACACCATCATACCCTTGGCCTCTAGAAAGCGATGGAAGTTTTCCTTGTTGAGAAGTAGACCTAGGTTCAGAGCTCCCCAGTTGATGGACTGTCCAGGCAGCCCAAGTTTGCGCCTGTACTGGCAGAATAAGTCGAGAAAAGAGTTGGCTGCTGCATAGTTTGTTTGGGATGCATTCCCAAGAAACGCTGAGATGGAAGAGAAGCACACAAAGTAGTCCAGTTGACAGTGCTTTGTTGCATGGTGCAAATTTATTACTCCATTAACTTTAGGTTTAAAAACCTTCTCATAAAGGGTTCTGTTAAGGGTCTCAATCAGACCGTCATGCAGGACAACTGCGCTGTGAAACACCCCTCTTATGGAACAACCTCTAAACTTCTGCCCAATTTCAGCAATGGCCTTTTTTACTTGCTCATGTACAGAAATGTCACACTCCATACTGGTAATTCTGTTCCCACACTGCTGCTGAATATTAAGTATTTCTTGTTGCACATCTGCTGTGGGCTTGCTCCTAGAAAGAATCATTATGTATTCTCCTCCTCTTTGTGAGATAAACTTGACTGTTTCAAAGCCCAGGCCAGAGAGACCACCAGCCACAATGTACACCGCCCTCTTTCTGAACAACTGCCTTTTGCTTGGCAGCAGCTGAATTTCAGACAATCTGGTCTTATCATTTTCCCCCAAAACGATCACAGCAAGCTTCTTTGAGCTGAAATATGAATATATTTTCTCTGCTTCTACACCAGTGCTTTCAGATTTCCCACACTGAAAAGTGAAGTTTTCAAGAACAAATTTTCTGCTGAAATTCACTGACTTCAGCCAGTGATAAATGTGAGGTGTCTGTGCTCTCAGATAACCCTTTTGCAAAACAGCTTGCATCTGAACAGTTTGTACATGAACAGTTTCCTTTATGTATCGGCTCAGGTCCTGAACAAGCAAAGTTTGCGTTTGAGATTCACAGAGGACTACAACATGCTGAGCAGCAGGGAAATCGCAAGTTTTCAGGATGAGGGACTGATCGAATGGGGGTAGGACGACGAACGCATCCAGATGATTGACATCTACAAATGATCCATTGCACTTTGTGCTTAGAATCACGTTCCAACCAGATTTGTTTGCAGTAAGTGCCAAAACTTTTACAAGAGCTGAATCATGAGCCGGGCTAATTATTCCCAAGTTCTGTTTGGGTTTTGGCAAGACACGATGAAGCATCTCCCATGCCAGCACAAAATAGGAAACACATGGTGTTTCTTGAAAGAATGGCAGCTTTTTGAGGCTGTAGCACACATCCTCTGGCACTTGAATTCTACTATTAGCTGTAACAGGATAACAACAAGCAATCTGGTCCCCAACTTTTAGTTTCCTTACATCTTTTCCAACTGCAGTAACAATACCGCTAAGATCAAGCGCGATTAGCTTATGATTCTGAGAGGAGTACTTGTTCCAGTAGAGTGTCTGACCAAAGTTTAGATGTGAAGCACTGACTGGAAAGTAATCAGATGAATGAACACATATCTTGCTAAGTTGAATTTCAATTGATGTGTCATAGAGTGGATATGCTTCTTCTGGTAGAGAAATGGCACTCAATTGAGTCACCTTGTATGCATCAGCTGTCTGAAAGGCAAAATGTTTAGGACCTGTGAAGGTGCATCTACCTTCTGAATGGTCAATGATTTCCAGTGGAGTTCGGCAAATTGACGGCTTTAAGATCAGCCCATCTTTTATGACTAACTCTGGGTACTTTTCACAAGGATGTGAAGTCAGGATCTCAGATAGAGCTTTAATGTCTTCAGTAGAGATGGATCCTATGTCAATCAGCTGAAAAGAAAGATCTGGGATCTCTGCTGCAAATGATCTCACCATACCAGCAAGAGCAAAACCTGGACTTATGTGGTCAACAGTGATTTCTGATGAGCGAAAGGTCACTGCTCTGATGGCTGTAGGGAACTGAATCCACTTTAGCTCCAGAACAACTTGGCGGAAAATCTCACAACAGCTTGCAAGGTTTTGCATGATAACATCAGCTGATTGTGATGTAAGATCTTCTTTCCCCCACACAAATATAACCTCGTCGAAGTTTTCCTTAATATCTGTGATACCATGAATTGAAAGAAGAAAAGAAAATCCATGACTTAAGATATATTTTGCTTCTATGAAGGAAACATACCTAGATCTTGGGTCTAAATGCTGTTGAAGAGCTTTTGAGATCCCCAAGCGATCCGAGAAGACCAAAGCCTTTGGAGACTTACAAGATGTGGAACTTTCACTGACAGCAGTAAAGTCATTATGGTAGAAGTACTGTTCCACCACATGACACCGACTGCCGAGGTACTGGATTATTACATGCTTCACCTCAGCCAATACTCTGCCTTCCTTATCTGTAAAGCACCCGCAAACCTCAAAGTGATCTAAACCCACATCAGTTGCTCTCAGGTAGATAATCATCTCATTCTGCAAGGGTTCAAACACAGAAAGACTTCCTATTTTGGCAGGAAACCCTGGCCTGCCTGCAAATATGTGCTCAACCGTGACGGGTAGAAGTTGCATTAGATAATCCAACACTACAGGATGAAAACAGTAGTCATGCAATTGAGGTTGCAGCTCTTCTGGAACAGAAACAGCTGCAAAGGCTTCCTTTAGATCCTCCCCATAGTGAACATTTGCTTTATTCTGAAAAACATCTCCATACTGGAAGCCACCTTGAGAAAGATATCCATAAAACTCCTGAAAACCCACGACAGATTTGCATCGCTTAGAAATGGATCCTAAAGAGACTAATTTCTCCTCAATCTGTCTTTCTGTCTTTGAAATCACAGTACCTGAAGCGTATGTAGCAGTTGAGGAGAACACCTTGAAGCTATTCTCTTTTTCTTTTTGCTCTAATTGGACCTTCATTTCAACAGAGTTCGGTGTCAATATGAATGGACTATGAAACTTGACACTGAGCTGCAGCGAGTTCAGTGGCACTTTTGGTTTAGTGCTAGCCAGGAATGACGCCAAACCCAGCTCTGCGTAGAAGGCACCAGGGATGATGGGTATGTTATTGTGCTTGTGCTCCTTCAAGTAAAATGTTGCATCAGATGTTAAGTTACAGCTGAAAATGTTGCTTTCACTTCCAGTCTTACAGAGTACAGGATGAGAGCATGCTTTATTGTTGTGGGCAGCTCCAATGATCACATCTCTGTCAGAGCATTCAAACTGGTACCTTGGGAAAAACAGAGGTGTTGTCTCGTATCCTTTGTAAAAGATATTCCAATCTACCTGAATCCCAAGTTCGAACAATTTTGAAACAGCTAGGATGACTGATTCATGCTCTTTCTTGGGTTCTACTGAGGCAACAACTTCAATGTTGTTTCCAAGAGTTTCCATTATGTTTCTCTGCAGAGCTCTTCTTGGCCCTATTTCTACAAAGACTATGCTTTTCTTTCCCTTTGCTGCTGACCTCAAAGCTTGCTCAAAGGCAACTGGTTCACGGATGTTTCTTGCCCAGTATTTACCTGTGCAGAAATCTCCAATTTCAGCCTCTTTTCCAGTAACTGTTGAGAACAACTCAGTATCAAGGTAATTCCTCTGTATTTTGCCTATTCTGTCCTTGATTTTATGCAGAATTGGGTCCATCATGTGGCTGTGGTAAGCAGCAGGAACATCAAGCACATGGAGAAAGAGATTTTGACTAATTGAGGAGCTGTTTAGTTCCTTAAGGAGACTGTCAATTGCATCTGCTTCCCCTGAAAGGGTACAGGACTGTGGGCTGTTGAAAGCTGCAATGCAAAGTCTTCCAGAATATTTATGGAGGAGAGAAGCCATCTCTGACACAGCCATGTTGCTGACCACAAGCATTTTACCACCGGCAACTTTCCTTTGAAGGGTGCTGCGGAAAAATATCACTTTCACCGCATCTTTAAGAGACAAGAGGCCCGAGCAGTGAGCAGCAGCCACTTCACCAACAGAGTGTCCAAGCACAGCATCAGGTTTGATGCCGAAATACCTTAGAAGGGTTGTAATGCCAACCTGAATGGCAAAGAGTAGAGGTTGGACAACATCTGGGTTTTTGAAGTCACTGCTTTCAAACTCACTCTCAAGTGTGCTTAGGATGTTTAAGGAGCTCATCTTTTGAAACATTTGGGCAATTTCATCAATCTTCTTTCTGAATACAGGATGGTTTTTCAACAGCTGTTTGCACATGCCATGGTAAGTCACACCACTTCCACAGAAGACAAACACTAATCTTGGATCAGAGAGGGCTGGGCTCACCTTGTTCCCAACACTGATCAGTAGTTTCCCCTTAAGATCCCCAAGAGATGAAACAGCAATGGCTCTTCTATATTTATGCCTTTGGTGACTTCTTCTACAGGCTGATGTGTATAAAACAGAATCAAGATCTACAGTGGTATCAGTCTCAAGCTGTTGTATGGTGTCTTCTAACATCATAGTTAGAGACTTTGGTGAATTTGCAGAGAGGATAAAATATTTCAACTGCTTTTCACTGCTCTGCTTTCTTGAACAGGCCTGGATGTTCTGTTTGACTATTGCATGTGCATTTGTTCCCCCAAAACCAAAGTTATTCACCCCTGCAACTCTTGCAATGTTAGATTCCCATTTTTCAATGTCCTTAGGAATTCTAAAGCTCAAGCTTTTGGTATCAATACTGGAGGTTTCATCGGAGTAGAAGACAGAGGGCACAATGGTTTCATGTTTCATCATCAGCAGAACTTTAATGAGTCCGGCCACTCCGGCTGCTGACTCTGTGTGTCCTATGTTGCTCTTCACTGAGCCGATCCGAAGAGTCTCTGACCCTGGAGGTTTGGCTTTCGCAATGATGTTTGAGATGCTTCTTGCCTCTGTTGGATCTCCAACTGGGGTCCCAGTCCCATGGGCCTCGATGTACTGGACTCTTGCAATTTCGTTGTCTGAGTAGATTCTGTGTAGCAGTTCCTCTTGTTGAGTCATTGAGGGTTTTGTAATTGGAGTGACTGAGTGTCCATCTTGATTGACTGCAGTTTTGCTGACAATCCCCCAAACGTGGTCATGGTCTTGAAGAGCCTACAAATGCAAAATAAGAAAAAGAAGATCATTTTTGGTAAAACATATATAGGATACGCGGGATTAGTTAGAAAAACTTAGTTTTGGGTGATACAAAGTTTCTGTCTGAAATTAACAATATAAGCAGGATAAAGTGAGTAAGGCGACCTTCCTTTTTTATTTTCACCCCTCTTTTCCTTTCCTTTAATGTTCAAATCCAATCACATTAAAGCCTAAAGCTTTCATCAAATATGTAAATGTAGCTTTAAAGATTTAGATCTTCAGAATGATCCTTTTTTGAATAAATAAACAGTGTCTTTATCCTATTTTAAATGTTATTTCTCCTTTTTGTTTTTTGTTCTAAAGCCTCTAAAGCTCTTTCGACAATGCTAGCCTCGGGCATAAGCAAAATAAAGCAGTGCTCAGGGGCCTCCCAAGAACGCTTAAATTTCATCATCACACTTCATAGACCTTAAATGCTACAATATCTTTATTGAGAATAGGAATAATATTAAATCTAATTTGATGGCTTAGGCATAAATTAAAAGATTCATTACTGATTAAATTCTAAATTCAAATTTTAAGGGAATGCCAAGCTTACTTTATGTTAGTAGAATAATAAAATTGATTGTATGATTTGAATGGATATATATATATATATATATATATATATATATATATATATATATATATATATATATATATATATATATATATATGTGGCGGCCTAGTGGTTAGGGCATAGAGTTTGGAATCCTGAGGTTCAGAGTTTGAGCCCCACTCCCACTGACTGCTACTCTGGGTCCCTGTGCAAAGACCCTTAACCCCACACTGCTCCCCGGGCACCGCACGCTGGCTGGCTGGCTGGCTGGCTGGCAGGCAGGTAGGCAGGTAGGTAGGCATTTAACATTACTTTAAGATGTATGTTTAAATTTAACATTTACATATAAGATATAAATTTCGATTTCATAGCAATATTTTGATATACCTTTTAATAAAATAAATTTGTATGTATTTTTTTAAATGTATTTTTTAATAAAAATACATTTAGATATGTACATATAAGTTTGAGATTTACATATAAATATAACATTTAATTATTGATAGATAATGTAGAAATAGATTAGAAACAGGAAATCTTTTTTTAGTTTTTCCATTCGGCACTCTTTTAGTGTCTGACCTTTTTCAATGGCTTCAGGAGAACTACTCCACAACCTTCCCCTCTCCCATAACCATCTGCTCTGCTGGAGAAAGGCTTGCTTGTCCCTTCAGGTGAAATCATCTTCGCTCTGCTAAGCGCCACAAATACTCTTGGCTCAATGATGCAATTTACACCCCCACAAACAGCCATTTCGCAATCACCTACATTAGATAAAAAGCTGTTATAATTTTAATGACATAAAAATTGTAAAATTGCCTTTTTTTCTACAGCATTCAAATCATGTATGTCACAGAGGTAATATGAAAATGCTGCTCAGACCTTGCTTTATGGACTGGCAGGCGAGATGAAGAGCTACAAGTGAAGATGAACAGGCAGAGTCAATGGAAAGAGAAGGTCCTGTGAAGTTGAAGACATAGGAAACTCTGTTTGCTGCAATGCTCATGGCGAGCCCAGTCCCAGTCCAGTGGTTGATCACAGATGGGTGCACATGCGCAGCATTTGTCTCATAGTCTCTGTTCATTATGCCTACAATTGAGATAAAACATGAAATTATATTAAGGCTATGCCTCTGGTTGTTTTAATAGTTTTAAAGAAGAACCTTCAAAATGAACAATGTCAATATTTTTTTCCTGGATTACCAAAAAACACTCCTGTCCTGGTTCCGCTGGCTTTCTCCATGGGAATTCCAGCATTTTCCAAAGCTCTATAGACACACTGAAGGAGCTGTTTCTGTTGAGGATCCATTTGTTCCACTTCACTGTCACTGATGCCAAAAAACTTATGGTCAAATTCATTGAACCTGTAAAAATATATAGAATTTTATAAAACACATTTTCATACATAACATTACTTTTTTATGTAAGGTGGTTCTACTGTAAAAATGTACAGCACATTTTTTATGATGCCATTACAATTAATGAAAAACTTTATATATATTTTTACATTTTATTTCTTCACCACTTTAGTTGCGTTGATGCAAAAGGCACTTAATTAGGCTAGCGTGTCTATCCTGCTGTATTTTCAACAATGTCCAATTAGGAGTATTGCTGTGATATTAACCCCATTCCCATTTTATTAAAGCTTTAGAAATATCATGTTTTAATATTTTACACTAAAGATATTTTCTCTTGTACTCTATTGTTCCAATTTACATAATGAAAGAAAAAGAATATGTTTTTTTTTTTTTTTTAAACAGACACCTCAACAGTTAAAAGGGAAGAAGTTTCAAAAAGACAAAACATTCTTGCATGTTTGTGATGAATGGAGAGGTTATTAATGGCACTTATCATAAACTGTTTTACTGTATTCCTTAGAGCAGTGCTTCCTAACCTTTTTTGACTTGTGTACCCCGTTTGGCCAAATGTGTTTTTTTTCCAAAAATAGAAAGTATAAATGTTTATAAAATGAAAAACATCTATTTAATTTCCTTAATTTGAACATTTAATGCTCAGATATGTCATTCCTTTTAATTAGAATTAAAAAAACATAAATATGTTACCTGGAAAGTGACTAAAAGTACTGAATTAAATACAAACTCAAATTAAGTTACAAATCTACGTTTTCTAACAAAGAACGGAGCTTTTCTGAATAAGTCCCCTATACACACATCTAAACTTGACAAATAAGGAAATCAAAATTACGGTAACAAATTAATATTAAGATTCACTGTCCTTTTTGATTTGTTTTCATCCTTCACTGAGTTAATGAAAAACCTGACCTTCTCCTGAATCCCCAGCAGTGGGATGTTGTTCATGTCTTTCATGTAAATGTGGATTGTTTTATTTATTTTTTTTAAATCAATCAAAATTTTTTGGTTTATAAAAATCTTAGCTTATTTTGCTTTTTGGTCCTTACAAAGCATAACCCATTACTGCCCAATTTAATTGTATTTCTTTATCTGGGAAGTAAAATATTTTCACGTACCCCCTGCCACGCATTGGTGGACCACTAGGGGTACTAGTAGCCCAGGTTGGGAATAAAGCCTCTATATATGTCAGAAAAAGCTTGGTTGAGTACCAAATAAAGGGGCAAATGTAAGGTTACTCAAGTGACACTTTTAATTGAAACAAATAAAACACAAAAATCTACATTTAATAAAGGCGAGAAACAAACAAAAACCCCCCCCTAAACTTGACCATTTTACCTGTAATCTATTGGTATATCTACAGTACAGCTAGATAGCTTGATACACAACATTAGATAAGAACCATTAAAGTGGACATTCAGAATACTATGTTGCAAGCTACAGGTAATATAACATCAATTTAGTGGTGTGGAAGGATTATGATGCCTTTTTGTTAAAAATCTTAATTTTCCAGCTGCTTTATTAAATTTCCCTGTCAGACTGTGAAGGGCTGCTGTACCATTTATGGAGATAAGGAAACTTACTCTGAGGAAGCAGCAATGAGGATCGCCTTACCTTACTATATTACCAATATGGCATTTATAAAAGGAAACCAACTCCCGAGAGTTATATTTATAGTAGCACCTTAAATTTGGTAAGATTTAAGGCTGCATTAACGTCAAACCTATTTGGAAGGAGAAAACATGAACAGGCTCATATCTGGACCACAACATTATTATGTTCATACCCATCAATGAGAGCGGCCTTGGCTGTGCAGGATTTTCCCAGTTTGGTATCATCTGGGTCACACCAGCTTGCAATGTCGAACCTTTCTCTGGGGATTGAAACAGAGCAGTTTCTCCCCTCCACCAGAACCTTCCAGAAATTGTCAAGTCCCTCTCCTGTTGGTATAAAACAATATATGGGGGAGAAAATATATATATGTTGTTTTGGCAAAGGTGAATATTTACCTAGTGATATGCAAGAGGTTGAACGTCAAAGAGTGTTTTAAATATGAAGAGTAAAATGTTCAACTGAGTTTTTGGGTGATTGAAGGAGAAGAGGTCCTATAGGCCCTCATTCAGGTTATTTATTACAGAGTTTAAGTTGTCCTTAACATGGGGCTCATTTTGTGAAACTACACTACTCAAAAAAATTAAAGGAACATTTTGTAATCAGAGTATAGCATCAGGTTAAATAAACTTCTACGATTGATTTGGTCAGGTAGGTACCAGAGGGGGTTGTTAATCAGTTTCAGCTGCTTTGGTGTTAATGAAATTAACAGTAGGTTCACTAGAGGGGCAACAACAAGACGACCATCAAAACAGGAATGGTTCTACAGGTGGAGGCCGTTGACATTTTTTCCCCTCCTCATCTTTTCTGACTCTTTTTCAACAGTTTTGCATTTGGCTAGGGTCACTGTCTCTACTGTTAGAATGAGGCACTACCTGGACCCTACAGAGGTTGCACAGGCAGTCCAACTCCTCCAGGATGGCACATCAATACGTACCATTACCAGAAGGTTTGCTGTGTCTCCCAGCACAATCTCAAGAGCATGGAGGAGATTCCAGGAGACAGGCAGTTACTCCAGGAGAGCTGGACAGGGCCGTAGAAAGTCTACAACCCATCAGCAGGACCAGTATCTGCTCCTTTGTGCAAGGAGGAGCAGGAGGAGCACTGCCAGAGCCCTACAAAATGACTTCCAGCATACCACTGATGTGAATATCTCTGACCAAACAATCAGAAACATACTTTACAAGGGTGGTTTGAGGGCCCGACATCCTCTAGTGGGCCCTGTGCTCATTGCCAGGCACCGTGGAGCTCGATTGGCATTTGCCACAGAACACCGGAATTGACAAGTCCGCCACTGGCACCCTGTGCTTTTCACAGATGAGAGCAGTTTCACCCTGAGCACATGTGACAGACGTGAAAGGGTCTGGCAAAGCCCTGGAGAATGTTATGCTGCCTGTAACATTGTTCAGCATGACCGGTTTGGTGGTGGGTCAGTGATGGTCTGTGGAGGCATATCCATGGAGTGACATACAGACCTATACAGGCTAGACAACGGCACCCTGACTGCCATTAGGTATCGGGATGAAATCCTTGCACCCATTATCAGACCCTATGCTGGTGCAGTGGGTCCTGGGTTCCTCCTGGTGCATGACAATGCCCGGCCTCATGTGGCGAGAGTATGCAGGCAGTTCCTGGAGGATGATGGAATTGATACCATTGATTAGCCCCCACGCTCGCCTGACCTAAATCCAATAGAACACCTCTGGGATATTGTGTTTCGATCCATCCAACGCCGCCAGGTTGCACCTCAGACTGTCCAGGAGCTCAGTGATGCCCTGGTCCAGATCTGTGAGGAGATACCCCAGGACACCATCCATCATCTCATTAGGAGCATGTGGGGGCCATACAAATGACTGAATACCATTTTGAGTTGCTGCAATGAAATTTCAGCAAAATGGACTAGTCTGCCGCATAATTTTTTTCTAATTTTTCTTTTTATTTTTGGGGTGTCTTTGAATTCAGCCCTTTGTAGGTTGATAATTTTAATTTCCATCAAATGATGTGACATCCTTTTGTTCCTAACACATCACCCAGTACATATCAGTAAAAATAAACAGCATGATTTTTTCCCCATTGAGATCTGATGTTTTCAAAGTGTTTAATTTTTTTGAGCAGTATATATTGAAATCAGTGAAACATGCTTTAGAGTAGACTCATTTTAGTTTCCTTTAACATGAAAAATGAGAACAATATAATAAGTCTATCTAGTCCATCTAAGCAAATAGCCTGAACTACATTTGACTGGACTGGATTAAAGCATATTCCTGTGTGAGAAAGCCCCAAAATAAATCACAAGTTTTCCAAAAAAAATATTCTAGATATGTAAAAAGCTGCATCAAAAGAATTTCATTTTTATCTCTCAAAGAAAAAAGAAAAAACCTGCATTAATCAATTGAAATATATGATATTCAAAGTAAATAGTTTGATTCCTCTAAATTACATATCATGCTGAGTCCTTATGGAGCAAGTGATTCAAAAATAAGAACAACATTAAATGTTCCAAGATCACACTATAAAAAATTAGTAAAAACCTTCCTTGATTTAAATGATTTTGTACCTTTCTGTCTAAAAAACTAAATGTTATCATGGATCGGATAAGAAACTAAAAAAAAGCAAACAAAAGGTAAAAAAGCTGAAAAATTCTTGTTACCTCCTGGAAAGTTGCATCCAATCCCCACCACAGCAACTTCATCTTCTGATTCGTCCATCTTAAACTATTTAAACAAAAATAGAACTAAAACCTATCACATGTTTGCATAACTATTTTGCATCTTGACTGCATTAAAACCAGAGATGTTAATTTTAGCTTCTCCTTTGCATTTGAACCCACCTGTAAACTGTACAGACCCGTTTAGTAATGCCTCAGTGCATCGCAGCATCCATCCCTCAGATGTTATCACTGCCCACCAGACTCACAGACCCTTCTTATAGGCAGCCTCTTCTGGTTATTAAACATTAATGATTGATTGTATATGTGGCCATGGAGATGAATTACTCCAGTGCTCACATTTATGACAGCTTGCAAGTAATTAACCCGTGTTTAATCAATATGTTATACGATAAGAAAGCTGAATAGGCTACTTGTATTTAAATGTACAAATTGTATATAAAAGAATATTGTTTTTAAATTGATGAATTAAACAGTTTCAAGTCTGGTAATTTAAGTAAAGCTTTATAAACCAGTTATTGATGATTCCCACACAGAGTGATGGGTGCTTTAATATTCATATTCATTGAAAACAATTTGTTGCACTGAAAGCAGAACTTAAGCTTTAAAAGGTTTATTTTAATGCAATCAGAATTTTTTGAATAAATTATGAAACCACACCTTGCAAACATGCAGTGTGAAATTATCATATTTCCTAATCATTTAGAAAAACAAAGAAAATAAACTTCAAGTCAAGTACATAAAAGATTATTAACACCAGTATTGAGTTGAGTTATTAAATAAAAGCTGGATAAATGTAGTTATTGACCTCATTCCTTTTCTTCTGGAAAAAACAACAAAACAATGATTACTTTTATACATAGAAACATGCAGTATTGATGAAATTACTGAATTTTTTATTAGCAATATATATCAAAATTACTCAAAAGAAAAGTTATGTGGACATCAGGGCATTAAACCAGATTTGTATGTTACTCTTTTCAAAAAACAAAAACAAATCTAGTGGCTGCCTGAATAACAGCAAATATGCGAGTTTCAGGTCTTTACCAAACAATGAAACAATCACAGGTCAGTTGGATAAAATTATGTTACAACCTCACGATAGGCGTCAGAAGCTGTGATTAGGGCGATAAGAGTGGAAATGTGGGTGGAGAAGCTACACCTCCCTATAAATAGTTAGACAGACTCAGGTCACCAGAAACATCTGCAAATGTTGTGAACAAAGATTGTTCTAACTTATTTAGGTTGCATCATCTCTGACATACATAACGGAGCATTGCAAACATGTGTCATGCTGCACGATAATGCAAACATTAACAGAACAGTCACGGAAAAGACAAAAACAGTCATGTTAAACTATTAAAACACCTCATTTATAAGACTTTCCAGATATTAAAGAGTCTAACTTTCCTTTCATATCATTGATTTGATTGACTTTATTGATCTCACAGTAAAGAAATTTACTTAACACGACAGCTCCATAATCAGAAAGGAGGTGCCAAAAGGAGGAAAAGGTGCTTGGGGGATATATATAGTGGTCCACATATATGCATATATAACAGCTGAAGTCTCTTATTTAAAATGATCATTACTCAGATTTATTGGGCAAGGTATTAAATGATTATTTACATAAACTGGTATTTATATAGCTATTGCACTGATTGATTTAATTGCAGATAAAAACACAGACGTAGCACTTTTATTTACCTGCCTCTTTCATGGCAATGCCATGTTCTTTTCTGTTCACGGGCAACACTTTAAATGGTTTTGTTACCGAAACAGGTTTTATAAATAAAATATCCTTGGAGAAAAGCCAATATATACTAAATTTCAAACCAGAGTGCGAAATACGGGGGGGTCCGGGGGGGCTCGACCCCCCCGATTAACCCATGAGCCCCCCTGAAAGCATCAAAAGCCAAATTTAAGGGGGGTCTGAAATTGTGTCAAAAAAAATTAAATAAAATGTTCTGGTTCCTTAGGAAGCCATTGCTCATATTTGCATATTGTTTCTAAGTTATATACTATAAGCTTTCTTATGTATAATATTTGATATAGTTAGTTCCTGTTTAACGAGTATACGCTGCATAGCTGAATCTGTTCTCACTGTGCTGCATTTTTGGCCAGTACAGCATGTAATTTGATGTGAAGGGTGTATTTCGTTTATGTACACATAGTACTATGTTTCATGTTGTGTTTGGAGGTTTATTGCAAGAAAGGTCACCGAGAAGAGAAGTTTAAAAAGACGCTAGCATACGCGCTAACTAGCCGCTAGCATACACGCTAACTAGCCGTTAGCGATGCCGCTAGCTAGCGGCTAATGTTAACATGTTGTTTGTGTCATTATGTATTTCTGTACATATTCAGGGAATATGTTGACTTTATTATTTAGGAGAATTGTGCCTGTTTATTTGGAATTGTGCCTGTTTACACAAAGACTTATGCACAATATTTTTTTGTTGCAGTTTTACCATTCATTCATCCTAGGGTGACCATATTTTCATTTGGTAAAACCAGGACACCTTGGAGCGGGGGGACGGCGGCAGGGGAGATCTCTGTTCCCATGCATAAAGATGTCTCTGACTTGCACTCACTTAAGATAGGCCCACGTAATCCTACAATAACATGATATTTACAGTTGGTTTATTAAAAAATGCTTTTCAGTAAAAGTCAAAAGCAATAACTCCAATAACAAATGATAATTTTATTCAAAATGTATTTATTAA